AAGACGCAAAGCATTGACAAGCAAGCCATTGTGCTAGCAATCAGGGTCAGCAAGCCTCCAGGTTCTGCAGGTTGCTAGAAAACAGATTGTCCACAATAAGGGGAATTGGCATGGCGCCTGAGGTTTTGGAGGACTTTCTGCTCCGGACGCTGCAGCCTCTGTAAGTTACAGCGCTTCTGGTCTTCTGGAGAGCCTTTGGATGACTTGTTTGGATCCTTCTGCTTTTTGACCTTTGGAATTGCTCCACCAGTTTGCTCATTCTTTAAAGGCAAACAAGTGGCTTGTTGTTGCTGCCTTATTCGCTCTAGATGACAGGTTCAATATTGACGGACTTTCATCTGTTTTTGGTATATTGTAAAGGCTGCTTCCTTTGAAGTCTAGCGGTTTTGCTCGTGTCACTGAATCTGTCCTGATGCAAAGCCAGCCACTATCATTTCCCATAGACTTTTCCTCTGGTACAACGGCATTGCCTTTTTTGGCGGAGAGATCACGTGCAGCTTCTCATGTTATTTTCCCCAGGTTATCTTGCTTTCAGCAACTGTTGTAAGAGCTTGGAGTTTGCAGGCCTTTTACACCTCTTACCCATCATTTTCTTTCCTTTTGGAGTTAGCTGTGTCTGGTCGGCCCCATTCCTGAGTATCGTCATGGTTGTTCCTGCCAGGTCCGCTGCTGACCCGGAGCTGCTGTCCAATTATGTTGCTGCGTTGCTTAAGAACCCGAAGCCGCTGCCGGAGCTGCGCAAGCTGTGCCTGGACCAGCTCTGGGACTTCCTCGCAGACAGTGAGCAGGCGCCACCACACATTCCGCGCTGCAACTTCGTTAGGAGGCAAAAGGACATGGGCTGGATCGTTGCTGCCTTTAGCTGCTGCACACCTGGCGTCTTGCTCAGATCAGCCTGCATTTCGCAAGCCACACGTGCAAGGAATTTGATGGTTGACACTGCTGTGCTGGACCATCTTGCATCTCGCCGATGTCAAGCCCTGTCCCTCCTGGTGCTACTGCAGGCACGCAGGAGTTTGTGGATGCGCTGTTTGAGGCGATTGAGGACGGCCGAGTGGAGCTGCCGGCGGGGCATGTAGCCCTCCAGCCCCACAGCGAACCGCCCTCCACCGAGGAGACCCCCACCCCGGACGACGCGGGCTATCCAGAGGAGCGGTGGCCCGCTGCAGGCGATGCAGGCCTGTACGAAGAACAGGATGCGGAAGCTGAGGGGGGGCAAGCGCAGGAGGGGGAGGGGACGGCGGCAGTGCCGCGGCCGGTGGTGGTGAAGGTGCCGAGCGCGCTCGCGCGGCTGGCGGGGAGGTACGATGAGAACGAAGACGACGAGAGCGACGAGGATGAAGGGGGCCGCGGGAACAGGCGTCGCGGCAGGAGCGAGCGCTCGCGCAGCCCCCCAGAGAAGCTGCAAGGGCGGGGGCAGAGGGTGCAGGAGGAAGGAGTGGGGCCGGGGGGCCGAGACGGGTGGAGGGGGAGAGGGGGGGGTAGAAGCAACGGGCGGATGGATGGGCCCCTGCACGCAGGGGGGCGAGGCCGGTTTGGGGGACGAGGGGACGAGCGCTTCCGAGGGCGCGGAATGCCTGATGGGCCGCGGTGGGACGGGCCTCCTGGTCCCAGGTTTGACCCTGGGCGGGGGCCCATGCGGCCAGTGGGGGACTGGGGCTCCGTGAAGCCGGAGCCGGGGTTCCCAGGGGGCCGCTTTGAGCGCAGGCCGGACTTTCCCCCGTTTCTAGAGCCGCCATTTCCGCGGGGCCCTGGCCCGCTGGGGCGGGGCATGCCGCCGCCTTTAGGTCCCGAGTTTGGCCGCCCGCCAGGGCCTCACGTAGGGCCCCCGCCCTTCTTCGGAGGGCCCGAGCGGTGGGAACCGTTTGACGCGCGCGTGCCTCCTCCCGAGGCGGAGTACGAGATGCGGATGCGGCTGATGCGCGGGCTGGAGCGGCGGCCGGAGGGTGAGGGGCGGCCGCAGAAGTGCCCCGAGTTCTTTGGGGAGCGCGGGTACTGCCTGCGCGGGAGGCTGTGCCCGTACGACCACGGGGAGGACGTGCAGGTGGTGCGCGACGAGCACGCGCTACGCCAGCTCAGCCTGGCCAGGCAGGAGCGCAACGGCGCCGGAGGGGCGGGGCCGCGGCAGGAGAGGCTGGAGGACGACCTGCCGCAGCACGAGTTTGATGTGCCACAGACGGGGGGGCCGGCGGAGGCCCGCGGGGAGGATGAGGGGTACGATCCTGACACGCCGCTGTGGGAGGCGCGGGGGGCGGGCGAGGGCACTCCAGGGCAGTCACGCAGGGGGCCGGATGCCGGTGCGGATGTGAGACTGGCAGGGGGGGGAAGTGACGCCATTTCTCTGGTGGGGACTGAAGCGGGGCCCAGCGGGAGGCTGGGGCCCCCCGTGTTCGCCCCCGGGGGGTACCTGAATCCGCAGCGGCAGGGCTTCCGAGCGGGCTGGGGCGCTTTGCCTGGTCAGGAAGGGCGGTTCCCGGGAGGGGGCCCGGAGACAGACGAGATCCGGAGCGAAGTGGGGGAGAACGACAGGGGCCCAGCGGGCAGAGGCCGGGGCTTTGCGCGAGGGGGCCGGAGGGCGGGGACGAGGGCGAAGGGGGGGGAAGGGGCTGGGGGAGGGGGCCGATCGGGGATCAGCCGCAGGCGGAGAAGACCCTGTTCGTGACGGGCATCCCCGAGGACCAGAACAACGTGAGCCAGCTGCTGGGGCACTTCAAGAAGTTCGGGCACGTGGTGATCCGCTGCTTCGGCGGGGACAAAGCGCACGTGCTGTTTGACAGCCACGAGGAGGCGGCGAAAGCCCTGGCGGCGCCGGATGCGCTGCTGGGGAACCGGTTCATCAAGCTGTTCTGGGCGAGGGAGGAGCTGGACCTGGCCAAAATGGGGGGTAAGTACGGCACGCGGCCAGCAGCAGAGACGGGCGAAACAGCCAACGACGATGCCAAGAGCGCAGTGGACGAGAAACTGGTGCCCAAGGCCAACGGCATCAGCAAGGGGCAGACGTACGTGCGGCCGGGCAGCGAAAAGGGGGCCGCCCCAACGTTGACTGAGGCGCAGCGGGTGGCGGCGGAGAAGGCGGCGCTGGCGCTCAAGATCAAGCAGCTGGAGGCGACTGTGCTGGAGGCCAAAATTGCGGAGCAGCGCCGTGCGCTTGCAGAGCTCGAGAAGAAGGCGGGCAAGGTGGCCGCGCAGTCGGACCTGAAGCGGGCCGGCAGCAGCGCGAGCGAGGGCGCCACCCCGCCCCCGGGGAAGAAGGCGAAGGTGGGGCCTGGCATGGGGTGGGCGGGGCCTGTGGCGGGGGGCTTCAAGAGCCACCTGAAGCTGGACAACCGGTCGACGGTGGTGCACGTGGTGGGGCCGTTGCCGGGCGGCGTGAGCAAGGAGGCGCTGCGCATGCACTTCTGGCGGTTCGGGGAGGTGGTCACCGTGCAGGTGCCGGACGCGGGCAGCAGGGACGCCGGCGCGGGGGTCGCCGCCAAGGTGGTCTTCCGGCAGCGGCACGACGCAGAGGCCGCGCTGGTGGAGGGGAAAGAGGTGGAGGGGCAGCCGCTGAAGCTGGTGTGGGGGCCGCCCTTCAAGCCGGCCCAGCCCGCACTGTCGCCCAAACCGCAGAGCAGTGGCGCAGCGAGCGGGGCCAGCGCGGGGCGGGCGGGGGGAGCCACGTCCAGTAAAGGGGCCGAGGCTGCTGGTTCTGGCGGGGAGGGCCATCGAAGTGTAGTGAGCGAGGACGTTGAGGAAGCGCAGCAGGCAGAGGTCGCTGAGATGAATGAACAAGCTGCTGGGGATTAAGACCTAAATGTTGCTCGAACGCCTGCCTGACGGGGAGGGTATGGCTCTCTCGTTATGTTCTTTGACCCAGTCCATTCCATTGTTTACTCACTGCGTTCATCAAAGCTTTCGACCACTGTGCATCATGATTCAATGGATCGATGATGCAGCGATGGTGATAAAACCTTCTCTTTGTGCATACCAAGTCCCTTTATGTTGTCAAGTTGGCATACTATTGGTTCTGATTGGCTACCGCTGCGCGAAGTTGCACCATATATGCAACTGGTCACTGTATCCTGGCTACCAATGAGAATCTTATCCATGGAACAACTAAGTCAAGTATACCCGGAACCGTACTGCTGCTAGCTGCATGCTGAAGTGCAATCTGCTTCAGAGGATTCAAGCTAGGCCGTACAATCATGGAGCGCGTTCAACGGATACCGTCCTGAAATATCAAATCGATTTCCAACCCAGAAGTAGCCTAGACAACCATCTAGCTGCAAGTCAAAGACCGTTCATATGCAAATGATGCAGCACTTTCGAGCATGTCTTCCATCATGATCATAATCAGATGGATCACAACGAAAGCCCTTCTAAGATTTGGATTAGTGCAACGAGCATATAGACAGAAGTTAGTATATCATATGCACTATACATCAAACGGTTTCCCGGATGCATATTTCACACGGTGCACATACGTACTGTCGGTATAGTGAAACGACTATGACCATGGGCGTATTATATGTACATGTAAGTGCAGTGCAGTGCATGCCCAACGGACACGGTTGACCAGTCCCGGATCGCAGTGCCATTACCGCACAATTAAGCAATGCATGTTGGTATGTTGGTAGGGCAATGCCTGGTTCGGTATAATCCTGTGTCCCTCGAACCACGTACCCCCAAGCTTGCGTTCGCATACAGGACATGCACAAGTTCAGGTATGCCAAACACTGTCGAGCTCAGTCAGCGAGGCCCCACAGTGTTCGAAACTTTATGCAAGCATTGCCGACCTCATTCGGCTAGGAACACAGTGACTTCTAGAAAGTCGCATGGCTACTAGGTGCCCTGATGCGGGCTCGTTCACAAAGGCGCTTCTTGCGGTTACCACAAACAACGCTAGACTCAGAAGTTCCATGTGGCATGCTTCATTCTTGACGATAAAAACGAGCTGGCCCTTTATTCGATAGAAGTCTTGCATCCGACATGCTGTTGTGGGTGTGCCGGCATGATACACGTGGAAGCTTCTCTATAGCATCTTAACAGGGATGCAGGCAAAGAGCTTCCATCCTCCCAGTGAAACACACTTTATATAAAAGAGTGAACAAGTTGATGAGGGGAAGCTAGCATCGAGTGTGACCTTCGCCTATTTGATCCAAACATTCGTTCTCTCTGAAAAGCTGCAGCATCGGTAGACGAGGGCTCTGCTACGGTCTTCTTCGATGCCAAAACAACGACTTGCACATTGTCGGACCTGGTTGGGCAAGAAATGTGTCAGGATCTTTGCAAGCAAGAAAGCCTGCACTTCCTGCGCGTGCAACATCATGAGCGATGCGAGATAAGCAAGTGTCAGCCCTTTTGTCAGCGGTGTGTGTCAACGTGGATCAAAAACACAATTGCAACCAGGTCAAAAGGGAGCCACTCACCTGCTCCTCAAGTCCAAGGGCTTTGTGGGTTCTTTTCGCCTTGTCTTCGCCCTAGGTTCACTTGGTTGCCTGGCAGCGACTCGCTTGACGTTCTCTAGCCTGCATAACGACACCACCCCCAGACGTTAGCAGAAAGCTGCTAGTGCATCCAGATTTTGAAGGTCCAAATAACGCAGTCTAGTGTAAGAAACTTCATTACAAGGGGCAAAACCTGCACAATTCAACCTTGCCTCATCCTTGTTTCTGCAGCTGCGGAGTGCATTGCATCACCACGTGCAGCCTCCCTCAAGGCCTGCCCCAAGCCCCCCCCCCACATCACTCCCGCCTGGGCGCCGCAGTGCCCCCGCTGGCGCGCCTACCTCTCCTTCTCCGCCAGCTCTGCCAGGACCGCGGCAGGCAGCAGCTCATCTGCATCCCCCTCGGCCTCTGCTGCGCCCTGTTCCGCACCCTCAGGCTGTCGGTGGGCCCGTTCTCCCTCGACCTTCCTCTTCCTGCTCCGCTCCTTCCTGCTCTGCTGGGCTCCACTTCCCTCTGTCTCCTGGGGGCGGGTCTCCCCCTCCTTTTTCTGGCTCTGCCGTCGCCGTGCAGCCTTGGCCTCGGCCGCCAATCTGCTGGGTAACGGGGCTTAAGTGTGCTCAACTACAATCCTGGTCTTGGACCCAGTGCGACAAGGAGCGAGGCCGTCGACATCTCTCCCACCCTGCATCCTGCACCACCTTTTACTGCATCCATTTTTCCAGCCTCTGTCAAAAGAGCACCACGAACGCTTCCCCACGCAGAGTCTGCTGTCACCATAGCCCGCAGAATCATCCTCCCCCTCAATCCACTGCCAGCACAGAAGGGCGATGCCTTACCTCCTTTTTGCAGCCTGCTCTTCGGACTGCCGCTTGTGCACGTCAGTTTTTGCTGCTTCCAATGAAACTTCCTCTGGCCGGTCGTCTTCAGAGTCGTCCACCTCCCTTGAAAGGTGAGGGACCCCCCTGCCGCTCCCCATGCTGCTGCTGCGGGCAACAAGGCAACCACCCTGATCCCTCTACCTGAGTAGTCTACCTAAGACTAAGTACTCGGAATGCTCCAGGGCGCCAGGTTAGCCCTTGCGCGGCGCGCAGCTATACCGCCGTGACTCCATGAGACTTCTCACTCGGTCGGATCACCTGAGCCTGATCGAGACTGCAGACTGCAGCTTCAGCCTGAACAGCAAGTTCAGGTTCACAAAACCTGCCAGCGGCGCCTAGCTGGAGCATGCTCGTCTGCGCCGACGGCGACGCTGCATCCCGTTCCGCGCGTCAGTCACGGTGCATCTAGCTGACAGTGAAGGTTGAAGCTGCACCTGACGGTTGACCGTGCAGTGCATTCCTTTCCCTTTCTTTTCACGGCTTCACTCCAAGCTCGCTGTGCTTTCTGGGTCCTTGGCCTTGTCATGGCTTCAGATGAGGATTGCGCTGCTGCTGCCCCGCTGTCTGCTGAGGAGGTGGAGTCCTCTTTCCAGGGCGCGCTGGATGCGCTGCACCGCCTGCTGCTGCTGCAAGAGCAACTGAGCACGGCACTCCGGCAGGTGAGGGGCAGTGAGTACGTACTGGAATTGATCTGGGACAGCAAAGGTTGGGAGAGGGTTGAATATTCTGAGCGCGTGTGCAACATTTCTGCTCTAATGGGTGAGAGCACGATCCGTAGGGAGCAATGGGAGAAACTCCAAGCTGAGTGTGAGCAATGCTGAGCCTGCGGAGCGTGGCTGTTAGACTTTGCTGTGTGCCTACTGCCTGATGTTGCCGTGCTGAGCTGCCCCGCAGGGCTGGTTCAACTTGTCCCTGGCGCGCTACAATCTTGGCCCGCAGCGGGTGGGGGCGCTGCAGTACCCCGCCACCATGACGGCCACCACAACACTACAGGCGCTGTCCCCAGGTGGGCGCCACGCCCCACCACCGCTGCATCACTACCGCTGTCCACAGCAGCAAGACGCTGCTGTCACAGAAAGGGTCGGTGATTCCAGTCTGCGCCGAAGGAGTGTGTTGGCCAACTGAAGCAATTCTTGAACATGGCAACGTGGTCGCCGCAAGAGCCTGGAGGAATTAATTGTGCTTGTGCCTTGTGACTCGCTCCCAAGTAAACGTCACCACTAGTGCCCTGCTTTGGCATCTCACTCCAATGTTTTGGCGCCCAGCCCCGGGGTTGGTGACCCTCGCACTGAACACCGTGAAGGGGGAGGGTCCTGCGGAGGCGGCAGAGTCCGCTGTGCAGGCGCAGGGGGCAAGCATCCAGGCGGAAGGGCTGCGGAGGCGCAGAGCAGCGGGTGAGGCGGGCTGAGCCCCTTTTGGGAGACACTTCGAAAAGACAAGCATGGAGATAAGGTATCAGAGGGTCCCGCAGTCTTGCAGGTTCCCTGGCTTTTGAAGAGAAGGATAACAGGAGCCAACTTTGCTGCTTCTTCTGGAAAATCCACCAGACTGTGGATGGTGTGAGCTGTGACGGCTTGGGCAAAATACCGGGGCAGCCTTTAGAGATTTCTTGTGTGCTGCAGACGAGCCAGCTGCAGTAGAGCAACAAGAAGCTAGCCCAAGTGGAAAGCCCTTGGTTCGAGTGGAGCACAAGCAGCGGCAAGCCAATGCATTGAATTGGTTTGGAGCACTCGTACCCCCAGCACTGCGAAATGCACAACAAGACTTCGCTCTAGGTGAGACCCCTTTCTCTGACATTTTTGTTGCCAGGAACTGCTTTGATTGTCTTTCGCTAATCCAACTTGTTATCAACCTGGCCAAATGTGAAGCTGTAGTGCAGCTATGTGTGGATCGAAAAGGGCAAATATGATGCTGAATTCATTGTTCAAAACGTGCATTTGAGGGTCTGCATGGAACTCATTGAATCAGATGGGAAGAAAAGCCCGATTGATTCGTCTCGTGGATGAGACAGGAACGTGTCCCTGAACGCGCTTCTTGTTTGGCCTTTTGCAGCATTGTCAAATGCTGTGGAGCTGGCGAATACCATCTCCCAGTTGGAGTCCTTCCGAAAGGCCTACGTCGAGCTTGTCAAGATCGATGACCACTCCACTCATCCCTTGGTATCAGATGAAAAAGATGCTGTACGTTTCCAACTCAAAAACGGATCAATGTCACCACTACCTTTGAACATAGAAGATCACGAGAAAAGCAAGACCCAAAACTCGGTGGACACAAAAGTGAGCACTTTGATGCAAGAACTTGAGTCGAAGTATGGAGCAAGCAAGTTATAGCTTATGCATTGCTGCGAGTCTACTTCAATCCTAGACCTGCAACGACTAAGATGGATCACGTAGTATATTTGCAAAATATCGGCGAGCTTGCCCCTCTGATGTCTCTGCCTCGGAACCTGCCTGTAGGGCAGCCACTGAGGCGCCAACATTGACAATCATCAATCTATTGAGTGGTCCTTGAGTCCTTGGGTGCATTCCATCTTGTCATGCATGTCAGCGGTGTTAGCAGGATATTGCAGTCGCAAATGAGTACGTTTATACGATGTTATGCCATGCCATGTTATGCCAGCGCTACGACGCTATTATATTGATATTGGTCTACTGAGGAACATCAGCTCGCCGGGCCCAATGGTTTCAAGTGTTGGCATGTACGCACCTAGCGACTGCGAGCCAGGACCAGGTTCTTCGACTTGAGAGCAAAGCTAGCTGCCTGCGAAACGGGGACTGCATGTGACCGTGTCTCTGTGCATGCCTCACTGGCATGCCGACTCTTTGACGAGGAGCCATGAAGGAGCCAGATTTGGAGCTGGCAGAGCGGGGACAAGGAGAATCGGTACCGGACGGAAGCTAAGGCTAGGGGCTGTTGGAACCCCCAGCAGTGACGTCAGCCTTAGGTTGCTATGTCTTCTTGTCTGGTATCGGCCGTTCAAATGTCAGCTACACAGCATCCGACGGTTTAAGCTGCGTTTGAAACCCTAACTCGGGATACAGGCAATGTGCGGATCGCAGCCGTCGGATAACCACTCCCACAGGATCTGACGCTTCAGAACCAGAGAGGTCCAACTTTGGGTTGACATGACCGCAAATCCAACAGGCCCCAGCCTTAGCTTCCGTCCGGTACCGATTCTCCTTGTCCCCGCTCTGGCAAGCTGGAAAAAGTGTCGAGAGCCTCACGAAGATACCGACCCCGTTGAATAAGCTTTTGATGAAAAGGAGTCCGGTTCTTCATGCCCGGTTCATGATTGCCGGTTCTGATGTTCCTGGATCAAAACGAAGAAACAGATTTTACGTGAGCGCCGGCACCCGGATGGTCTCGGCCGGCACTAACCGGCAGGTCCTGGGGACCCGGTGACTTCGTCCGCAGCGGCAAGCAGGCCCTGGCAAGCAACTTGAAGGTCACTTGAAGCTCAGGACTCTCGGATCCTGCATGGGCACTACATAATGCCACTTGTGTAAGTGCTGTTCAGCGTGATCGAGGGTGAAGCAGCCAGTCTGAGTTGTCGCAACTGTTGTGCTCAGGGCGAAGAGTCGAGACTTGCACAGCGTACGCGGGCCGCTTTCATGGACATGGGCGCTGGGTCTAACGCCGCGGCCTGGTCTTGCCAGCATTGCTGTTCGAGAAAAAGTTCAAAGAGGTGCTTACTGATTTGAGCGTCAATATGGTGAGGGCATCTTAGTGGGCACCAGATCTTCAGGAGGGCCAAACGAGACGGTCTGCGCTTCTGACTCGACGGAGGAGTTTTCAAGATTCTTGAGTTGCCTAGAGGAAAAGCTTGAGCCTTCTGTCAGCGCCGTCCAGTTGAACACAGAAGCGGAGCTCCGCTTCTGCAACAATCTGATCAGCCCTTTGTGTGAGCCTGGTTGTGCTTCTCGCACAGAGATTGTAAATCCTTACGGACAGGAGCCTCTCTTTGCCCACTGCCGCTGCTTGCTGTCTCAACCTGTAATCCTCTGCTTTGACAAGCGCTGCATTCTTGTCTCTTCCTGGCCAGCCTCGCCTCTGCCAGCTCCGCCTGGAAGTGTGCCTACGCCCTTCCCAGTCTCTGGGCCTGCAATGCTGCAGGACCTATTCCGCGAAAATGACTGTTTCGAAGGACTGAAATCATGAAGCTGGTTTGGTAGGAGGGGACGAAAACAAGCTCTTGACAGACCCACTCTATCGGCCCTGGGCATGCTTCTAAATGTCAAGAAGACCCTGCGACTAGCTTGAATGAGACGAGGGGCTTGACTATCCTCAGAGGCAGGTCAAGCACCAAGTACTCCTCTTGTGCAGCCATGGGCCCAGTTCCGCCAGCTGATGCGAGTGAGCCTGCTGAATTCTCCTTCTCTATGGTGAGTCGTTGATGTTTAACACGCGAAGTTGTTTGGCGCGCACAGAAGACATACTTGATATGCTGCACGGGGCAGTATCGGCGTAATGATACAGAAGTTCTGAGCTTGAACGAGTTGTCTTCAGACTGCAGTGTCATGGAGGCTACCTTGTCTTGCAGACCAATAGGATGAGCAGCTCGGATGCTTGTTTCCTTGAGCTTCTCTTTATGGATCTAGCAGGCGGATCAATGGAGATGTCCAGATTGTGGAGCTTGTTGCAGCTTGAGGTTCTCCCATGAATTGGTGAGATTGTGTGTATGCCTAGCAGCATATACAGTTGGCGCTTCAATTGTCGTGGGAGCAGCACTGTGTCGGTGGCCGTAACACTTCCTCTTGTACTCTTTGCAGGCCTACTCCTCCCCCCTGCCGCTCTCCCCATCTTCTCCCACTCCTCTTCCGTCAACCTCCTGGCAGATTTCTCCAAAGTCTGCGACGACACCGTCATCAGAGGCTACGCAGCCTCGTCCTGTTCCTGTGTTGCAAAGCCTGCAGCTTCGCTCCAGTCTAGGAGCGTCGGCCAGTGGGTCAGAACAGGGAGCAGCAAGACCCGCACAGGGCTCATCGCCTAGCAATGCTAGCGCAGGCCCAGAAAGCATTGACGCAGAGATCCCTAGGGGCGAAGATGCAGGGCCAGGCACCTCCGATACCCCTTCACAAGAACCAGGGCCCAACGATTCGAAGCTTCATCAACTGCGCACGTCCTCAAGTGACCAAGGAGTGTTGAGCAACGCCACTTCCTTGGGGACGACTGGTACAGAGGGCACCATAAGTGGCCAGAAAGAGGTAAAGGCAGGCACGCCAGGGATGAGGACACAATCGGGAGCAGCAGCGAAGGCAGCAATGAACCGCAAGAAAGTGCCCTTTGAGAAGGGCTACAGCCAGATGGACTGGCTGAGATTGACGCAGACGCACCCGGATTTGGCAGGTGAAACATCTCCTCCACTTTGCCTTTAAGTTCAGGTATTTGGTCAGCGCTCTACCTGGTATGGATGGCGCCAACGATGGTGGTCTGGTGTTGCTGGTGCCTCGAATGGGCCCCACAAGGAGCTTTAATAACAACATTGACAGGGCTTCGACATGTAAAAATACAGGGACACCAAGCTTCTTATCAGGCATATGGTGACCAAGTTGGGGCCCCGCACTTGGGCTTTGCCCTCCCTTGTCGGCCTCCCCAACGCTGTAACCTTCATCTCGCAGGTTTGAAGGGGGGCCCAAGGCGACGTATCAGCATGGAAGAGGTCAAGCTGCACAAGGCAGAGGACGACTGCTGGACGGTGCTGAGAGGCAAGGTGTTCAACATCACGCCCTACTTTAACTTCCACCCAGGAGGTAAGCAGCTCCGTCCGACTGCTGGGAGCTCGGGGCTGTGTTTCTTTTAGCAAGTGGTTTCTTCCTTGGCTCATGAGCGAAGTCCTGACAAACTGCGAGGCGGGGGGTAATGTTCAGAACGGGGAGGTGGTCGTATGCCTATCAAGATTTGACTTGTCAAACCTTGTCGGCAATTTTGGGCAGATTTGGTATCGTTGTATTCTTGCAGCGGCAAGTTGTAGTTCGTGCACTGGTTCAATTTGTACCACCTGGCGCCTTCAAGCATCTATTGATCAAACGAGATTAATTTCATGAGAGCTCTTTGACGGTGCTTTCCCCGAAACCAGTGCAGCTTAGTAAGAGTTTTGCTAATGATGATTGTGCTCACCGTATATGCAATCTTCGATCCGCGCAGGGCAAAAGATGTTGAAACTTGCAGCGGGGAAGGATTGCACACAGCTGTTTGGTAAGCGCTGCCCCTTTGCTTTCTACCCAGCAATCTGGGCTTGCTTTCGTTCACGTCTTGCTCCTTTGTAGCCTGCTTCGATGCTGACGAGATTTTTGTTAATGACAATTTTATTTTTCGGCGCTTTTTGAGAAGGTCCTACCAGTCGGGATTAGATAGTGAACGCATATCGCTTTCCCTCGTTTTCCCAAGCAACTTGACGCCTTTTTCTTTTTGGTGGCCAGATAAGTACCACATGTGGGTCAACGCAGAGTTTTTGCTGGAAAAGTGCTGGTTAGGAGTTCTTGATCAAGGACACTGAAAACTGTGGTACCAATGAATACTTAAGGTACACATTCAAGGCACAGTTCTTTGTTGCGACACTTGAGTTGTTGAGCACCCAAGCAAGCGTAAATACATGTTGCTCATTGTGAATGATGAAGCGTGTGGTTCCTGCCAAGCAAGCGTGAAATGCTAAATAGGCTCGTAGGCGCAGTGGCTACCATGCAGTCACTCTTCCAGCAAGTTCAGGGCCGTCTTTCAATATGGAAGATGTCATGTAATCCTTGTGGAAGTGAATCATTTGCAATGTGAGACCGGTCACTCCTATTGTATCTCGGATCTGCAGATTTAGTTGAAACGCTTCGTTAGACGATCTTTACCAATTTCACCTAGGCATGCATATAGTTTCTGTCAAGCTGAATTAGTCACGATGCAAGTAGTTAAAACGGTCAAAAAGACATGTGCAATGTATACTGAATATAACCATAGCGTAGTAGAGATATCTCGGCAGTCCGCCCTCATATACTTTTGACGGTCAAGATTTATTTCCGCCCAACGCTTTAAGGTGTAATCTTGACCCCTTGAACCCACGGTGCACATAGCCCTCGGCTAGACAGATTGATGCACTGCGATCCCAACGTAGGGAGTGGAACAAAAAAAACGACTTGCTTATGAGAAGATGGCAAGGGTTAACTCGAGCGAGCAGACAGTGTGCAATGCTAGCCTTCCTTCCTGCAACGGCTAGTAGGGCGCTCCGAATTCAAATCTGGCGCCATGGCTGCCGCGAGTAGCGGGAGGTATCTCCCTCATTTGGGCACCATTTTTGGTGCTTGAAGGCTCTCCGCAAAGCTCTTCATGGCACCAACACAGCCTTGCAGGATGCTAGTACCGCTCCCTGCGCGATGTCACGATGCCTCAGGCTGCCGGAAACCAAGTGGATTGGCGAAGGTGTCCGCGATGCTCCAAGCATTGTAAAGGTGCTAAGGGGCTTGGGGCGCACAAAAGGTCGTGCGATAGGAAGGAGGCGTTGCGGGTCCAACAATTCCAAGGGCATGGAGTTAATGGAGCCCGCCATCGACGCCCGCCTCATGCCATTCCCACTCTTGCGGATTGGGAATGGGCCGCGACCGAGGTTGACCTTGAGGAGGAGCTTCTTCCCGGCTTTGGGACGCGCCAGTAAATCGGGCGTTCTCACGTGTACATTCACCACAATGGCGGAGCACCCCGACACCATCACCATCACATGGCAGCCACCCCCGGACGAGCTCTTTGACGCTCAGATAGACGTGGCAGCCACTCTCGCAACCAACTCTGCCCTGCTTCGGAATGCTCCCCTCGCTCGACATTTCACGCGACGTTGGCTGCAGTACGCCGGTACGCGCATGAGGGCTGGCAACCGCATAGCCATCGGACACGTCGCCCGTTTCATTGAGGCGGAGCTCGACGATGTAGACGTGCTGGACGGCGAGGGAGTCGAGCGTGAGTGGCGAGCAGGATTCTGCAGGTCGACTTGGCCAACGCGTTCAACGAGGTTGATCGCGTAGCCATGTTTGACGAGCTCCGGTTGCACTTCCCGGAGCTCCTCCCGTTTTTCCGCTGCTTTTATGCGGAGCCGTCTCGGTTGCTACTTAGACGGGATAGCGGGGATTGGGAGTTGTTGCAGTCCAGCACGGGGTCACGGCAAAGGGACCCTTTAGCCGGGTTTCTGTTCGCCCTAGCCTATCACCGTCCCCTTTCCGCCACGTGCGCAGCCTTTCCGGATGTCCAGCTCCCTTCCTACGCCGACGATACTCACATCGTCGGCGCGCCGGCGCGAGCCGCGGAGGCTTTTGCGCATCTGCAGGGCGGCCTAGCCACGCTCAGCCTACGGGTGAAGCTGGCAAAGTGCGCGGCATTTTCGACCCGCCGAGCTTCCCCCCGCCCTTCCCATCCCCCCCGAGTTCCGGCGCCCCGCCCACGGCATCGTAGCTCTTGGCGTCCCCATCGGTTCGGTCGCCCACATCCACGAGGTTGTGGGGGCTAAGCTACAGTTCTTCAGTGAGCAGCTGACCACCCTTCCTATGCTCCGAGATCTGCAGATAGCTTATGCCCTCCTCGTCCGAGTGTTTGTACTGCGCCCCTCTTACTTGATGAGGACGGTAGCCCCCTCCCCGGAGTTTCTTGAGCAGCTTCGGGGTTATGACCGTCTACTGCTTGGGTGCTTTGAGAGCCTCTTGGGTCCAGACGCGTTTGCGGGGGAGGCAGGAGAGCTGGCGCGCCGGCAGGTGACGTTGCCCACGTCCTTTGGCGGTTTGGGCGTCCGCAGTACCGCGGCGACCGCTCCCGCGGCGTTCCTTGGTGCGTGGGCGCTGGTTGGGAGCTTGATCGCGGGGCGTTTCGTCCGATCCGGTGAGCAGTTTCTTTCGGAGGCTGTCTCGGATGGGGTTGAGACTGGAGGCTTGCCGTTTCAGTTGGCGCTGCGCGCGGCTCCAGATAGTCTTCCAGGGGAGGCAGCGGGACAGGCGCTTGGCGCTTTAGCCAGATTCGGTCGGGAGGCGGAGAGAGGCGAGCAGGAGAGGCTGACTGCAGCCATCGAGCTGGGAGCGGTGCAGGGGCTCCGAGACCAGACGGGGGACCCCGCTCAGCGAGCGCGGCTGGTGAGCAAGACCGGGCCGGGGGCGGCAGCCTGGCTGTCGACGGCCCCGCTGTTTCAGGCACTGACGATTGAGGATGAGTGCTTCCGGACGGCTTTGCGGAGTTGGCTTGGTTTGTGGCACCTGATGGTAGTGGGCATTGCGTTGTGCGAGTGCGGGCAATCCCTTCAGGGTCCTTTGGGGGGACAGCACCTGAGGAGGATGAGATCAGCACTTCGTATTTGATTGTGCGGCTTACAATGGTTGCGAGTTCTTCCCTTTAGATGGAAATAATGATTGTCTGAAGCAAATCTGAAACGGTTCAGAACAGGGAGCTATAGCCAGGTTTGTTCATGTAAGTATGCAGAGGAGAAAAGCAGCATTAGGTAGAGTACTAAGACCAAAGAACAGTCCACTAGGCCTATTGTGGCCCAGGCGAACGGACTCTAATCCATTCATTCATTCGTTCATTCAATAATGTCAATCGAGCAAAGTCCATATGGAAATTCTGAATCGAAGCGCTGCGTGGGGACGGGCTCCCGAGCCGCGACAGTTGGATGCTGCTGCAGAGGGGACACTTCGTCTCTGTCTACCCGACAGACAAGACAATTGTCCTCATTAAGCAGCGGGAGCAGCCAATTGGGTGGGAGGAGTATGAAGTGCATGCCGCCGGTAAGCCGTCTGGTATGTCGAGCTCTTCCGTTTCTTTTAAGAATTGAACTTTGGCCGTTTGTTCAGGGAATCGTATCGACGGGTCCGACGTTCTCAGGCGCGCTCTTCTAACCAAGGCTGACTCAAATGTGCTCAACAACGCTTTGCGCGTGATATCTGGCGATGTTATCAAAGCCCAGGAAGAGCTGACGGCAGAGGGGCAGTAAGCCCGTCTTAGGCAGTTGCCGTTTCTGTTGTCAGGGTCTTTCTACGGTTGGAAGCGGGCCGCGGGAATGGGTGCGCAAATTTGAAAGTCCAACAACTGACATGGGGGCGAGCACCTGCAAGCTTCGGCTTAAAGTCCTGCAAGCACCTGCTTATTCTGCCGGTCCAGGCGTCTGGGGGCCCAGCGGAGAGGACGACGGAACCGGACTCACTCCGCAGAAAGCCCGCCAATGTAGCCCACCCACGGGCAGAGAGAAAGGGGTCGGACGCGCGGCCGGGATCTTTCGTGCGGCCGTGGTCCGACGAATCGACCCCAAGTTACGCGACACGGCGAGGAGGCGGGCAGCGGGAGCCGAATGAGCGACGGCTCTGAGGGGAGCGTGCACGCCGTGGGCGTCGACGTGGGCCGATGGGTAGAGGGGGCGGCCACACGCTCGCTGTCGGAACACGAGGCTCTGCTGGAGGACAGCCCGCGCGGCTTCGAGGGCGCCAGCGACAGCGGCAGCGGGCGCGCGAACAGCACGGGAAGCAGCCGCGCGGGCAGCAGCGAGGGGCGGCGCGGGCCGGTGTACCTCATGAAGATGCACAAAAGTTCTAGCTAGCAGCCATGAGGGCCAACCAGGTCGGAGGCGGGCCGCCCACCGGCTGGGAGCCGTGCCCGAGGAGGAACCGCCGCCAGCGGTCGTGCCGAGAAACATGCCTGGCGCCGAATAAGGAACATGACCATGACAAGCTTGGCAGCTCGACAGCCGCTGGGATGGCGGGGTTTTACTTCGCACACTAGCTTGCCTTTTGGGTAAATTTTGCTTAGGATTCCCACCGCTCTCCTTCTATTCGTTGGTTTTCTGAGTCTGCTTCTCAAGCCTCATTTCCATTGGATATGGAGGAACGTGCACCCAAATTTCTAAGGGTTCATACACCCTCTTTCATCGTGTTGGCGGTGCAAAGCTGGAATTATTGCTCCCTTGAACCCGAACGCCCTTAGTGGCTCGCGGACTCTCCTTCACTCGTGACGCGCCAACTTTTGTGGGGTTTGGAATCCGAGTTAAGCATTCAACGCGTCAAGTATTCGTGACCGACAGAGCTGCTTATTGACGCAGGAAACGGCACGGGTGGATTGTCTCGGGGCCAAGCCTCCCAGGGTCCCGCCAACAGATTTCGCCCCCCGCCACAATCTTGGACTAACCGCCCTTACCTACCGGGCCTGCATGTTTCGCGCCCCGGGCACACATGGCAGCCGACGCCAGTGGCAGCGCCCGGTAGTGTGCCCACGCGAGAAGGGGGCGCGGATAGGAGCGGTGCTTGGTGCATGCCTGGGACAAAGATGAAGAGCTTGCGCACCTACGGCAGGCATTGAAGTCCTCGGAGCCAGAAGGCGCGTGATGAGGAGGAGATGGCCCGCGCAGCGACCCAGGCGACAAAAGACGCAGATGAGGCCCAAAAAAGTTGCGGGTCGCAGGTCTGGCGCGGCGAAGCGGAGGGCGCCCGATGCGGAGGAGAGAGCTCGCGCAGCGACCCGAGCGGCAAAAAAGGCAAATGAGGCCGAAAAAGTTGCGGGTTGCGGGGCTGGCGCGGCGGAGCGGGAGGGAAGCAGAAGCCGGGAGAAGGCTATCGGGTTTGGAAGAGAAGACGCGGGTTCGTGAAAAGAGGCTCAACGAGGTTGAGGAGAGCCTCAAGGCGGCGAGACAAAGGGGGAAGGCATCGGAAAGACGGACCCGAGAAGGGGTCTCGAAGTGGAAGAAGGCGCTGCTCGAACTGGAAGAGCGTTAAAGAAGTGCTTTGCACGCTTCGAAGGTGGCAGAAGATGCCGGGCAGTAGGTGGAAGAAGCGGAGCGCGGGAGGCATGACGAATCGGCGAAGAGAATGGCGGCTGAGGAAGCAGTGGCGGCGGAAAGGCTGAAGTTGGCAATCATGACGAAGAGGCTGGAAGCGTTGCAGGTTGAGATGCGCTTGAGGCTGGCGGAGGTGGCAAAGGCGCAGTGCCCTGTGTTAGAATCCGGTGATTATGGTCAGCCGGATTACTCCGTGATTAGGGTTCGGACCGAGTTAGGGTTTGAACTAGTGAGCGCCGGCGTGCGTGCACAGCGGTTAGGCGGGTAACCTTGGAGGTTAGGCGGTTGAGAGGGCCGCCGATATGGAGCCGTAGATAAAGATATC